TGTAGACACAAAGTTTAACAGCAGGAAAGTGAAATTGAAACAAACCTGAGATCTTTGGGAATCAAAACGTTCACTATGAAGCAATGGTCGCCACGGACATGGGGGACAATTGTTGTTGAGAGGATTGGCTTTTGTCAGAATCAGGATATGGGGAGAATGCTGCTGCTATGTAAGTAGGGGGGGGGGTGAGAGATAGGTCTCCCAATGGACTTTTGTGGTATTAGCCTCTGAACTAAACCTCTCCCTTAATGAATGAGATTTCTCTTTGGGACTTTGAAATTGTCGGTACATTACATAGATCAAACAAAAGAATGGCAACCAAGAAGAGAACCAGAGAGGTTAGGTCGTGGGTGGGGGACTCATTCTCTGATATAATTTGTAACATATGACAACATTCCTAATAAAAAAAACAAAAGGAATCAATCATATCTCTTGGGTTTGGCCCTTTTGGTGTTTCTCGTATGGTCCCTCCCTCTCCTCATCTAATTAAGCATCCTACACTACATCCCCACCCATTCCCTATTTTGTTCGGAAAAAAAGGATGGTTTGGTGTTGTATTTATGGTAATAAGTTGTCTTGCACGCGTGGGGGTAAAGCGTGAAACTTCGAGATTTGGGTGCTTTCCTTATTCCATGCAAACCCACAAATAAAATAAAATATACATTTGCTTTTAATCCAGACAGAAAGAAAAAGCTGAAAAACAAATTGATAAATAAAGAAGCAAGTGGGTAATAATTACAACCACCACCTCCACCTCCCCATTCCCTCATGCACCAAATCTCATCATGACTGAACAATGGAAAAGAAAAAAGACAGATAGAAACCGCATCTAATCTAAACCAACCCACACACACACAACACATTGCATATTTGCATTTGCCGCTCCCTCCCCACTCATTCACTGAAAGCGTTAGAATCACAGACCCTCGTTCTCGACACTTTCCGTTCGCTTCAAGCTCATGATCCTGGTTACGACGTCGTCCATGGTCGGTCGTTTGTCCGGATGCTGAGCCGTGCATTCTATCCCGAGCTGCAGCATCTCCTCAGCCTCGGCCTCATGGCTGAGCAGTTCTGAGTCGAACAACTCCTCCCTCCTCAACTCCTCCGACAGCACCCACCTCGGCAAATCAACCCCTTCCTCGGAATTCCCAGGCGCTTTCCCTGTTATCAGCTCCAGCAGCACCACCCCGAAGCTGTACACGTCTGCCTTCTGTGACACTCTCTTCGGGTCTGTTACTTCTGGCGCACGGTACCCTGTCCCCCGGTTCGGAGTTGCAGAGGAGAGTCCCACCAGCTGTGCCAGTCCGAAATCAGAGACACGGGCTTCGTTGGCTTTGCTTAGGAGGATGTTCGATGACTTTACATTCCCGTGAGAGCATTGCGAGTGAAGGTAGTTCAAGCCACGAGCCGCCCCTAGGGCTATTCCTGCTCTCATTTCCCAGCTCAATGGACTCCGACCACCTCCTTTGTTTCCTATAACAGACAAATAAGGAACTTCAGAATTTGGCATTGTTAATGTTCACCAGACCACCTCCTCTGTGACAGCCAATCAAGCTTATGGGTTGCACCCAATTAGGATTCAGTACACAGATTGAGCTAATCATATGTTAAAACACAGCCTTTTCAATCAAAGTCACAAACAAATTCAACAATACCTTCTTCTCAATAAGAACACAAAGAATGAGATGACTGACCATGTAACAAAGCAGACAAGCTTCCCATAGGCATGAAGTCGTAGACAAGCAGCTTCTCGTCCCTGCTGTAATAATATGCCCTAAGTGGCACCAAGTTCTCATGATCCATCGCACCCACTGCCTCGATTTTCTCCCTGAATTCTCTCTCCTCCATTGTCACGTCCTTCAGTCTCTTCACCGCCACCACTGTCGTCGCGTCCAGCACCGCCTTGTACGCCGTTCCAAACGTCCCTTTCCCCAGAACCTCCGCCGACGCTCTCAACAGGTCCTCCAGATCGAAAACCCTTGTCGCGTTCCCGAAAAACACCAGCTTCTTCGCCCCAGAACCGTTCGCTTCCCCGCCTTTCGCGTTACCCGTCATTGCCGCGGCCGCGGCAGCTGCCACCGAGTACCCACTGCCATAGTTTGCGCTCTCTGCGGCCTCCCCTGCCGGTTTGTCGCCGGGAATTTCGACCTCTTGCTGCTTGATGGAGGGAATGTCGACTGCCCTCGATCTCTCTTTGCCCTTCTTCCGGCAGAGGACCATCAATATCAGCACTAGTAGCGCGAAACCCACAACGCATCCGATGACGATTCCAGCAATCGCGCCGCCTGATAACTTCTTCTTCTTCTTTCCCTCCTTTTCGTCAACTGTCCCGGGCCTTCCACTGGAAGTGGGTTGACTGGGAACAGTTCCTTCGTCCGGGCAGACGTCGAGTGGTTTGCCGCAGAGGGAAGTGCCCAGGAAGGAGTCCGACTCGAACTTCCGCAGATTATTGGGTATGGATCCGTTCAACATGTTATTAGAGACATTGAACTGATCCAACGGCAAATCCAAGTCCGGGAGCGAGCCGGACAGCTGGTTGTTCTCCAGGTAGAGAGTCTTCAGCCTCGTGAGGTTGTTGAACCCAGGAGAGATCTCGCCGGTGAAATTGTTACCGGCTAGATTTATTCTGACGAGGTCCCTGAGACCGAACAGGAGCGAGGGAATCTCGCCGGAGAACATGTTACCCTGAAGATAGAGGTGACGGAGGTCAGAGCAGCGACTGAGATCCGAAGGGAGGGAGCCGACGAGGGAGTTGAGGCGGAGGCTCAGAGTGCGGAGCCGAGTCAGATTACCAAAAATACCCTCAGGAATACGGCCGGAGAGGGCGACGCCGGGGAGACGGAGGACGGTGACGCGGTCGGCTTCACATGTGACGCCGGCCCAGTTGCATGGAGTGAGCTGAGATACGTTCCAGCGAAATGTGCGGCCGCCAACGGCGGAGCGGAGGGAGAGAAGAGCGGCTCTGTCGGTGGAGAGATCCTGCTGAGAAGACGGAGGCAGAGAAAGGAGGAAAGCCCAGAGGAAGATGGAGAGAGCCGCCATGGAAGGGGAGGGGAAGATCCGCATTGTGGGTTCAAGGCGGAAGGGGAGGCAAACCCTAGAGAGAGAGAGAGAGAGAGAGAGAGAGAGAGAGAGCGCGGGAGAGCGG